CCCCAAAACCCCAAAACCCCAAAACCCCATGATAATAAAGATCACTGAAAGTTAATCTTAAAATTATAAAATGGGTAATTTACTTGGAAGAAAAACCACAGTTATAGTACAGTTTTAGCCTCTAATTCTCATATAGGAAGACACATATACCCCTAAATGCTGTAAATGTGGTCGATTATTAGAAGATATCAGTGCCGAAACCAGCTTTGAGTACTATGAACTCAGTTCTTGCTCTCATCTGATATGAACAGATTGCTTTAAGGAGCATGCTGAAATAGAATACGGCGTCAAGCAGCTCGTCGACTGCCCAAAGTGAGGGAGAATTGTACATGAAGAAGAAATTGAAATTTTGCTCAGTGAGGAATGGGAAGAAATGGTCGAAGAACTTGAAGACGAAAAAACTGAAATTAACGAAGGATTTGTCAGATGTAGATGTGGTGAAGAAGTTGAAGTCAAAAATAAAAAAGTTAATTATAACTTAAAGGATGAAGAAGGATATCCTGTTAGTAAAGAAGCTGCAGAGTGATATGCTAAGTATAGGACTAAGTGTAACCAGTGAAATGATGAGCTATGAGGAAAGTGAATGCTGACCCCATTTCATCTTGGATTCACTTGATCTCAGTATAGAGAGTATATTGAGTCTGAAAAATGAAGATACTGAGGGTATCCAGTGAAGAAGAAACGTAAGAAAGGTATCCTACAGTTTGTTTGTAGCAAATTTGAATGTAAGAATATTGCTAAGCATTCTTGTTCTGAGATTCTTGACTGTGGACACGTCTGAAGAGGAGTCAGGAAAGAAGAAGAATGACTTCCATGTTTGGAAGCTGACTGAGTTGAAAGAAATGAAAAGGCAACTCTTGGTGAAAATACTATGTCAAATTGCACAATATGCTTCACTGATCCTCTTGGTCAGCTCCCTTGTGTGCAACTCGAATGAAAGCACATATTTCATGCTGAATGTTTGGAAAAATAAAATTGAAATGAAATGGGCAGGTCCAAGAATACATTTCAGCTACAAAAAGTGACCTGCCTGCAAGGCTGATATATTATGGTGCTTCCATAAACGTATCGATAGGCTGATCCAAGAAGCCAATGAGCTAGAAGAGAAAGTCAGGGTAAAGGCCATCGAGAGAGGCAAGGCAGAAGGCATTGATAAAGATGAGAGATTAAGAGATGAACAGAACGAATTCTTTGAACGATACGAAGAGTACTGCCTCGATAGACTAGCTTACTATATCTGACATAACTGTAATGATGTGTATTATGGTGGCATGAGAGAGTGAGGTAATGCTATTGAAAACCAGGATGATTACGACCCTGCTGATTATCTTTGTGGAGATTGTAAGCTAGAAAATTATGCAGGGAAAGCCAACTGAGACACCCATGGAGATCAGTTTATTGAATGGAAATGAAGATACTGTTGTAATTATTCAAGATGGTTTTGTTTTGGGACCACCCATTTCTGTAACAGATGTCATAGACACTTAAAAAAGACTATTTACAAATGACCTGGGCCTCCTGAATGTCAGATAAAAATGGAGCACCCTTCAGATGGAAAAGAATTTGCAATGGGTTGTGGTATGTGAAAGAATCAAAGAATTGCTGATGCACAGTAATTTAATTTTCGAATCGCTTAGTATAATTGTAAAGTTTCGAAGATGCTGAGGTAAGAATAGCAACAAAAAGTGAATTATATGATTTCTAGGTTATTTTATACTATTCCAAAAATAATATATTTTAATTAAATTTATAGAGTCCAAACACTAATGGATTCTATTGAAGTGTCTCCCTTGGGGTTTTGGGGTTTTGGGGTTTTGGGG